TAATTTTTTTCTGGCCTATTAGCCGTCATCAGCCAGTTCCACTTAACCCAATTGGTGTCCCACACGAAGTTCGAACCCCCGACCTTGTCAATTGGAAGTCTAACGCCCTTACCACTGCGCCACGGGAATATAACCAGTGGCAGATAGGAGCACTCTGATTGGTCACAGAAACCACTCTTACCTTAGAGCGTTGGACATTTAATTAACAATGCTGCAGGTTCAAACCTCGGGTGGGGCACCGCTTTTAGTCGGCTATTACTGGCTGATGAGCCAGAAATGGCCATTCCAGTCTCCCTTGTCTCTGTCCTCCCAATTGAGTCTGGCGTCGTGTCTATGTACAGCCACACTCCTGCTCGAAACCGACGAGACGAGGCCGTGGCGCAGTGTATCAGAGCGTTGGACTAACAAGGTCACTGGTCCGAAGGCGTAGAAAGGTGAGAGATGCGGTTGGACGGAACAGTTTCAGAGAGACTGGGTGAGACAGAATCCCGGTGGAGAGAAGAGTCGACAGACCGAGCGTATGCCCTGCTGAAGACGAATGTTCGTCTGCACCGAAACGTTCAAATGTAAAAAATAGGGAGTTTTCTGAGGCGCAAAAACTGGTTCCTGCCCTCCAATTAAGCAAGTCTGACAGAAGACAAAATCAAAAGATTGGTTAGTTTGACGGGAGGTGGTTTCTTTTACCTGCACTTGGAGACGCTTCTTGGCGACGTCCATGGGGTACACGGCGCATTTAGCGACCATTCCAGCAATCCCGCCCGAAGACACACTCTGGATCGCACCTAAAAATACAGAGATGGAGGCGATGAGTAAGCTGCTGCATTGGCTTTTACGATCTTTCATTGTAAGCAGTGCATATTTTAATGTTCTTAACTACCACTTTGAACGTTCTAAATGGCAAGATGGGACAATCATATGATGATACGATTCAAACTGTCCTTGAACCGCTTCATTGTGCTTTAGATATCGGCGCGAACCGTGGAAACCAAGGACCTCTGCGATATCAAGACCAGATTAATTATACAGTATGACGGGGAAATCATACAGAAGTTCTGACAAAATTGGATTTGGTAATTAAGTATAGATTTGTTCAGAGTATTTTAGATCTAATGTATTAATTTAATCCTGAGAAAGGTAAACTGTCCTTCGAGTTCAGCATATTGAGGATCAAAATGGTTGACCGCATTTTGTTTTATCGCATCAACGGTTTGGCGCGGTAAGCAAAACTACCTATATATTACCGCGGAGATGAAGGTAAAGACAAATCTTATTAAAGCTAAAGCCTGTGACAATATACTTTTGTGCATAATATAATGTCCGCTGGTGCGTAATTTAGAAACGGAGCAGACAAATTAATAATTATCGCAAATGTTAGTATACATTCGGTCACTCTTTTTAGCATTCGCAAACCTAGAACGGACCCTGAAAGTAATCAACAATGGTGAAAAATACTTCAATATTAAGTAAAAAGTAAGTTCTGAAACGAAGAAGACGACTCGAGGGCTGCCAAAATACTGTCAGTTAATGTCAGGCAAATTAAAAAAAAACTCGTCAAAATTCTTCATTTACACTTTGACATTATCGTGGAAAAATGTAGTATGCACAGATACAGATACTAATCTAACTCCAGAACGGCAAATTGGACCTCAGGTAAGATGACGTAGACGAACTTCTAACCACCATTGCTGTTTTTTGGGAATTTCAAGAAACCTGCAACTTTATAATCGTGTTTTTCCGCAATACGTTAAACGATAATACAGATTAGGAAAATCTACAGATGTCAATCAACAACATTTCTCAATATAATAAAAAAATACATATAGCAGTTATTAAAGTAAATGCCACTGCGTATCCTAATTCCCCACCCATAAAACCCTACAGTAGCCGCCGAAGACCATGCAACGCTAATTATGAAATTTGGCTAGA